GCCTTTAGCCCAAAAGAGCGCACATTTAGAAAGATAATGATAAATTCTCACATGTTCATGCCTCATTTCTTTTCAGAGGATGATTCTATATTATATTAATGTTCCACTAAATTAATCTGAAGAGTTTTGAGCGCTCTCTCCTGTTCAAAGACTATAGAATACCCTATATTTACAGGGACTTTGTCCCGTCTCACTACCATCACACAAAGTGGAGCAGAAATGTCATCAAAACGATTTAAAAAAATAAAAAGAGCCATTTACAGGGTTCGTTCGCACGGTCATCAAAAACCCAGAAAGCTTGGGAAAAGTCGTGGAAATTTATTTTACAAATCTCTATATAATAGAATATATGTTTAATCGTCCTGAATCTCGGTCGGTGCGGGATTGAGCATTTTGGTTTTACTCATTCCCGCAGGTTTCGCACGTTTGGAAAATTCCCGCAAACATTTATTTAATATACAATGTAGGTTAGATGAGTTAAAAAAATTAACTCAGCATATCAGATTAAGTCAGTCATTTGAAAACAGCGTGAGTGATTCAGCTGTACCGCGTCTTCTTGCCCTCACTCTCTCAAAATTGCCTCACATCAGCGCATCTTGTCTGCACTAAGAGAGCTGCTGCACGGTGCGATACAAGACTTTCGCTCAGCTGACAGAACTGTCACTTGCCTAATTGGGTCAGTGTTGCATCATCACAAAAGTTTATCATTTGCACGTCTTTTTAAACCATTCGGTACTTGCGCGCTCCAAACTAGTTTTCTGGGTGCTCACGGTCACATCCAAAGTGCGCGCACATGAAGCCGCCACACAAACACCTCGAGAAAAAGTTATTGTTTTCATTGTTTCCGACTCAAGTAATTATTTTAATAAATAATGAATATAAGCATAAAGACAATTAAACGGTCAGTAATAAATGAGCAAGTAGCCTAACTAGCAATAGCACAAGGATACAAATGAAACAAACTTTTTAACTTTTTCAGGTAGGCTATAGCCTAAAACTAACAGTAGCTGCTACTATTCAGGAACAAAATACTATGATGTATAAAGTCATAGATATAGATTATATTTATACTGTATATTAATCCATATTAAATATGAAAAAGTGATTTAGTCAAGAGCAGATTTGAGCAGAGTGATTTTTTTTCTTTTGTTCTTTAACACAGACTGACAGACAGCAGGTATACTAAAAGCTGCTGTCACTTTCACACAAAATGTTAAAGGGGTCATATGATGCGATTTCAAGTTTTCCTTTCTCTTTGGAGTGTTACAAGCTGTTCGTGAATAGATAAGATCCCTGAAGTTGCAAAGACTAAAGTCTCAAAACCAAAGAGATATTCTTTATCAAAGTTAAGACTCTGCCACACCCCCCTAAAACGGCTCGTTCTAACACGCCCCCACATATCTACCTCACTATGTGGAAATATTAGCATAATGCGCCCAAATGTGCACGCAAAGAAAGAAGGCGTGGTTTCAGTAACCGCAGTTAGTGTTGAAGCAGCCATGTCAGGGAGACGCTGTGTGTTTCTAGGCGAAAGCAAAAGCACTTTATTTGGCCTTCCGAAAGTAGATGCATTTAGGAATCTTTAAGATCACTTACAACAGAACAGCAATGCATTTTATGGACGACCGTTTCACGAATCTAGGAGAGGAGGTAATTCTGACTTTGCTATGACAATCTGGCGCTTATAAATCAGTGACTTTAAGTATGTTTTGTTACTAGTTTAAGAACAATGATCAATGATGCGCGCTTACTTCGATATTATGGCGGACACTGCTGGATTCGGTGGTCGAACGGTCCATTATCCGGATTGAATAGGACCAATGATAATATCTATAGGCTACTGTACAACCGCAGCTGCACAGAGGTTAATGTCGTGTGAAGTCATCTCTACAACATTATGAAAAGTACCGCTGTATTTGAAGGATAGGCTACAACCTGAAGAAAACGGTAAGATTTACACGTTTCCTTTTTAAAATTGTTAATGACGCGCCGAGTCAGACAATTTTACACTGCAATAAATATAGGCCTATCTGTTTCCACTCAAAATAACTAAAAGATGTTCAGCTTATCAGCAAAACTGCATAAATGTAGTTTGATTTGAATTGTTTAAAACAATTGAAATACTATTTGGCCAGTGTAAAAGAATGAGATCAACTCTATTCTAAAATATTTATCTGATAAATTGCACTGCAATAAATAGGCCTATCTGTTTCCACTTAAAATAACTAAAAGATATTCACGTTATCAGCAAAACGGCATAAATTTTGTTTGATTTTAATTGATAAAAACAATTGAAATAGGCTAATATTTAGCCAGTGTTAAAGAATGAGATCAACTCTATTCTAAAATATTTATCTGATAACTATTTTAAACAATTTTTGTTTTTATTTTTGTTTTTATCTTGATATATTTATTCTAAAACATAAGGATATTGGATGATTTTTAGAAATAAAAATTAATGTATGGCACAAATGGCATTTATAGTCCGTATCTCATATTTCTTTAATGTCTTTTATCTTTGACGGTGTTAAACAAGGTGTCATGGGAATATGCATTGAAATGATATGCAGATGAGGTTATGCATAGTAAAACAAGGCGTTGTAAGCTCCATATGGTGATTTCAGGGAGGAGAACAGGTTCTGGCGTACACATGGTTTTATAAATCTGAAAACTTTTGTGCGTACGCAAAATCTTTTGAGCATACGTACACTTTTATGATGAAATCTACGGAGAGTTTTATAAATGAGACCCCTGGAGAACCACAGCCCTGCAGAGTTCAACTCCAACCCTAATAAAAACTCACCTGCCTGTAGCTTCCTAGTAACCGTTCAGACCTTGATTAGCTTTTTCAGGTGTGTTTGATTAGGATTGAAGCAAAACTCTGCAGGGCTGCAGCTCTCCAGGACTGACGTCATGGGTCAGAGTTTGCGTGCAGGTGCGCAAATTTTCCCGTCAAGTTTGTTTTTATAAATCCCACCTATTGCGCAGGAAGTGGCGTACGCCTCTTTCAGGGCTGGTTTTGTGCGTACGCAATGGTTATAAATGAGGCCCCTGGACTATAAACACTTTCTCAATCCAGACTGCCATCAAGTATGTTGCTATTTTATGAGAGGAAATTGTGTTTATTCAGAATCAAGCATGAGATTTTGATGGAGTTCAATTCATACTCCAACAAATCACTGCCATGCATTTCATGCAGTGCACTATATATCGTGATGTGCTGCATAATGGCTCATGTGGTGAATTATTTAGCCTAAATGGCTTATGAAGGCTTTCTCCTGTTGTTGCTAGTACTGATCTAAGGATTCCACCATATGCATGTTGAGTTTTCTGACATCTCTGCGATTCATGGCTCTTGAGTTTGGTTTTCCCTTCCAGCAGAAGAGCATTTATGTGTTCATTTCCACTATGAACGTGGTCTAAGGCATGTGTGTAGAGGTTTGAGTTTGCTCCAGAGCAGAGGGGTCTCTTGACGTCTCGTTAGCTTTGGTGCAGTCTGGATTCTGACGCGTCTGCGAGCCTTTCTGATGGATAATCTTTAAATCAAGAGAACAGTGTACCCAGGACATCTACCTCAATTTAAATACAGAAAACAGCTCTCCCTTGAAAAAGAGCTTGTGTGTTTGACTAAACAGTCAAAGCTAATCCATTTCCATCAAAGCTAAAGATACTGTTTGGATCATCTCAAAACATAATGGAGAACATGTTTATTAGGTTTTACACAAACTTGTAGAGTACATTAAGCGAAATGCTGCCATCATTAAAGACATACCAAACACTGACGTTCTGAAATTATTGTTCATTTTAAATTTTTTTCTTTTTGTCATAAGAGTAGAAATGCAAAATAGACGCTTTTTCACTAGTGGTCTCAGATGTTTGGACCCCAGTGAAGGTAAAATTATTTTGACACAATAAAATGCTGTTCAGTAAGGAGAACTAAGAGTGCTATTAAAAAATGAATTAAGAAATATCATTGTATTGATTCAAACACACACAAAAAGCAGGACAAATAGACATTTTTAATTTTTAATTGCCAAATAAATATAAAGTTAGTATAAGATAAAATATCATAACAATAACAGTACATTAGTGAATCCATTTTAAATGCAACATTTTCTAAACCCATTTGCCAACTGCTTTTCTTTAACAGTTGGTTGGCTGTGTAAAAATGCCATTGGATAGTTCACATGTGGGAGCAACCAATGAACGTCCATGTGTGAACTGTCCAATGACATTTTATCGATTGGCAAAATGATAAAGAAAAGCCAGTAGCAAATGGATAAAGAAAAGTAATCTGTAAATGCTTTATAAAATTCAAGTGAAATGATGGATTTAAAAAATATTTATCAATTTACTGTTAAATTTAATTAGATTTTAAATATCAATTAAATAATCTTAAATACTGAATATTTAAAATGAACTTTGAAAATGTCCTTTTTTACATTTTAATTTTTAAATTTTTCTTTTTTTCATGATTATTGATCATTTCATTTTATTTTTAAGCAATACTTTTAGTCCTCCACAGTCCATTATGTTTGGCACTTTTTTTTTTAAAGATTTATTTTGGGCATTTTTATGCCTTGATTCAGATAGGACAGGAAGTGGACAGGAAGCGACATGGGAGAGAGAGAGAGAGAGGGGGACAGGATCGGGAAAGGTCCACGAGCTGGGACTCGAACTCGGGATGCCCGAAGCGCAACAGCATGTTGGCCACATTTTTAAAGAAAACTGGAAATTACGAGGAAGGACAGGAAAATGGAACTGGGAATTCAAATGGGAAATGATGCATTGGCACCAAAGCTTAGCATTGTTAAAAACAAGTACACTAGGCCATGGCTTTGATGGTTCTTTCTTTTAGATCAATTCCTTAACCATTTGAAATGGTTGTTACCTTCTCAGCTGCTACATGTTATGGTTTGCGTTTGTGTGGAAAGATTTCACTCAAATAGTCTTGTCTAACGATATCTAATGATGCATGTATTTGCTTTCATGTGCTTTACCTCAGGGACGAGGCGGTCCAACTGTCTGACACGGTTTTGGTGGGAAGGGTGTGTGGATAGCCACTCTGGGATGGTGGGTTCGCCTCTCAACTGATCATAGATCTCCATCTGCTGCCAAAAGACTGGGCCTGCCCTCACGTCAGCACACGCCTGACAGAAACACATACAAATCTCAATAAACACACATACAGAGATGGTTTCCAGGCATGTTAAAGCCCTGCCATCATCAAAGGAAGCAAACAGAGAGATGACACACACACACAACCCCACGAGTGCTCGAAGCTCTGGACAGCGTCATTAGCTGGAGCCGAGAGCTGGCTGGCTCATGGACAGCATGACTCATGACAAGTCTAGCAAGCCTCGCATCGTTACCGCAGCAACGTGCCAGTGTCCTTCACCGAGCCGGCTGTGGCAGGCCGGATCCAGGCCCGTTTACGAGCAGCAGGCGGCCCGTTATTACTACTACAAGAGATAGAAGGGAATTGACTGTTTCTCCATAATGATGCCAAGCATGGGATCAGGAGACATGCTGTCAGGAAGAGCATTACACCGAATCAGATCACTGCCACATAGAGAGAAACGCTTCCGTCGAGCAGTTTGTAACGAAACAGTGCCATCAAGAGGTCATGTAGGTTACTGTGACTATAAATAACTAATAAAAAGCAGGTTCCGCAGCACGGAATTGCATTTTGTTTTTCACGGTTTTAATTTATCCAGTTTTCTAGTAAGAATAAGTTACTAATTATTATCTATACAGCTTTTATTTAGAGTGACATTATTCTAAAATATGTCATGCCTTGAAAAGTTAATTTATTTGTAATTTTAGTCAAGTTTTTATTATTATTATTTTTCTTTCTTTCTTGTTTTCTCGTGATCTTGACATTCCCAAACTCTCTTTTCTCATTATCCCGATTTAATCTGCTCATGATCTCGACATAACAAAAGTTGTTTTCTCATGATTCATCTGACAGCAGCACTAACCAAATTAAATAATAAATAACTATTTTGATAAGAAGCTGTCCTAAATGTAATGGTTAGATTATATCTATCCTACATGACAAATAAAAATAACAAATTAACTATGCAATATAATTTTTTTTTCAAACAAATAATGAAGATGTTGAATTCAAGGTGCTCTAAAAGATTTTAAAATAATTTTGCGCATTTACATTCAAATGCTAATTGGTTTACATAATATCAAAACCTAAATCCCAAACCCTAGCTATAACAGATATTAACTTAAATTAAAACTATTAAAAAAAAATTTCAGCAATTAAAATAAGCTGAAATAAAATGAAAAATATTAATAAATACTAGTTAACTAAACTAACTAAAACTAATAATAGAAAAACAAAAATTCTAAAACAACACTAAGCTATAAACAGCTTAAATCATATTTATTTAGCCTGATTTTCTGAACAGAAAGTGTTAACTGTGACAAATTTTCATCAAGCCCGACACACAATGTTTTACAAACAATGGTTAAGCAGGTTTATAATTCAGTTATGGGCTGCTACGCAGCACTATGCTGCTTATCCATGCACTTGCAACTTATGAAATGTATATATATAAATGTAAATTATGTAACAGCTGCTTACACCGAGAAACTGGACTTACAGTGCATTTTATGTAGACATTTTATCAATGTGTTCCCTTGCAATTGAACCCTGATAATAATAATTTCTGCAGTACCTTGGCAGCCAGTTGCAGGCCAACCTGGTCCGCCTCTGCCTCCAGCTTACGACTGAAGGGCCGGTCAAATAAGAACTACAAGACAGACAGAAAAAATGAGAGAGAGAATATGCAGTTAAATGAGCTGTTCTGACAGAGCACACAGAAGCTATATTGAGTAAACAGAGGAAGATGGACAGAATGAAGTGAAGCATATTTGGAGAACAAAATGACTAGGAGATAAAAAGCTTAACCATTAAAATGTAATTTATTTTAAAAGTAATAGGAAAAGACGATGAAAAACGGAAAAAAGGGATGAAAATATCCACATTAAAAAGAGAGCAGGAGAGTACACGGTATCTTAAAAGAAAAACACCATAAAAAACCAAAGTACAATTAAATTTAAAGTGGACCTTTGTTTCACGCCGCACAGTGCTTCAGAAAATGCAAATTCGATATCCATTTAGAAGGCAAATAAATGTAGCTGAATTCTAAATAACCTTAAATTGAAGTCCTTAGAAACCCAAATAAGATCTCCTCTGAGATATTGTTATTGTTTTACAATGGTGGCAAGAGAGTACTTGAGAAGGTTTCTTTGAGCTCGAGTAGAGGAGTATAATTCACGTTTAAAGGGTCTTTTAAGGATTTTAGAATCAATATTTAAGGAGTATTTGCATCATTAATGGACAAACCCAACCTAAACAGAGTCCCATCAATGTCTTATGCTTAATTCTGAGCAAACAAAATGTAATACAAATACAATATGTATACATATAATCAGTTAGTAAGATTTTTTTTAAACAAATTCATACTTTTACATAGCAAGGACACATTATATTGATCAAAAGTGACAACAAAGACATTTATAAGAATACAAAAAATATATTTTATATGAATGCTGCTTTTTTTTAACTTTTTATTAAAGAATCCTGTAAACAAAAAAACAGTTTCCACAAAAACATTAAAGGGGTCATATGATGCGATTTCAACTTTTTCCTTTCTCTTTGGAGTGTTATAAACTCTTGGAGCATAAAGAAGGTCTGTAAAGTTGCAAAGACTAAAGTCTCAAATCCAAAGAGATATTCTTTATAAAAGTTAAGAGTCAACCACGCCTACCTAAAACGGCTCGTTTAAACACGCCCCCACGTCTACGTCACTGTGTGGGAAGATTTGCATAACGCCGCCCAAATATTCATACAAAGAAAGAAGGCGTAACATTTATTCTCGCTGTAGTATTGTTGTTGCCGCCGCTGCCATGTCGTGAATACACTGTGTGTTTCGTTGTGAAAGCGAAACTACTTTGTTTGGCCTTCCAAAAGAGGACGATATCCGCTTCATCATGCCTAGAGCTGATCCATGCTGGTCGCTGAGGAAATACATCAACTTTGGCTGTGGATCACCGGATCGGCTTTCACCGTGGACGAAGCAGAGTCCAGCCCGGGGTCGTCACATGTGATTGCCGCAAGCCCACCGGACGCTCCTTCGTCCAGAAAGGCGGGGCATAGAGGAGAAACAATAATGTACATTATGTGGAATGACACGTTGGAAACCAATAATGTGTTTTTTGAACCTTAAACCGCATAAACACATTGCATTACACCAAATACACAACATAATGTTCTTTTTAGCAACGTCATATGACCCCTTTAAGCAGCACAACATTGATAATAAGAAGAAATGTTCCTTGATATTAGATTGATAGAATTATTATTAAATGATAGAATGACACTAATGTATGGAAAACACATTAGTGAAAATTCAGCTTTGCCATCACAGAAATAAACATTTAACATTTTAAAATATATTACAACACAAAACAGTTGCTTTAAATTGTAATATTATCTTACAATATTACCGTTTTACTGTATTTTTGATCAAATAAATGCAGCCTTGGTGAGCAAGAGTCTTCTTTCAAAAAATACATATATACAAAATGGAATTATATATATGCTAAATAAAATATTTTAAAATAAACTATATTTCAAATGCTATTTAAAAAATGGATGTGATATTTATTTACAAAAATGTTTTATTTCAAACAGACTGGGAAAATTAAATGGCTTTATTAACTGTGAGTGGGAACATGGAAAGGAGGCAGATTAAGAATCAATTGAAAAAAGAGAAAGAGAGAGATCGTGAGGTCAGCTGTCACCTGCACTAGTTTGCCCTGAATCCACTGGCCCAGCACGGCTAAACTGTCCCTGGGACAGATCGCCCAGATCGCCGTTAACAGGATGAGAGACAACAGCTCCACCACGTGAGACAAACTGGCCTGCTCTGCCTGAGAAAGAGAGAGAAATTCATTATGGGCTTCTGTTTTTGTTGATTTCGTCATTTATCTACTATGCTAATTTGTTTGTATTTCAGTGTTAAATCAATTAAATCTTGCTTAGCAGCCCATTCTTTGACAGCATGCCCAATTAGAAACAATGTAGAAAAACAAACAAAAAGAAACAAGCAATTTAGCAAAGAGAGACATAATGAATCACACTGAATTGTAATTGCGATACACATTGTATTGAAAGAAGGGCAACAGATATACCAAAACACATGTCCACGAGTGGCCGGGTACATGCCGCAAAGCAGATTTGTTGGGTAATTATGTCAGCTTCATGGTCATATGATAATAAAAGGTGTTGAAGGAGCATTCTGAGATTATGGATTGCTTGTGATAAGTGTATACTGTAATGGGAATCATACTGTTATATAATAACAGTATGATTCCATACAGCACCTCTAAAGACCCCTCTGTCAAGCTCCTGAAGTTTGCAGATTGTTTCCCCAGCAAATCTACATCATGAACAGTTAATGTTCTCCCATTGTGCAATTAAAGTATGTGCAATAACCTTATACTTATTTATCACCCTAAATCCTAGTACATCCCTACAACTTTATTTTATTTTATTCTATTCCTATTCTATCTATAGCATACCTGTACATACAATTTATTCTTTTTTTGTGGTTTATATTTATGCATGTGTATTTTATTCACATCTTATTTTTATTATCTGTGTGTTGTTGTTGTCTCCGTGTACTGGAAGCTTGTGACACTATAACAAATTCCTTGTATGTGCAAACATACTTGGCAATAAAGCTCTTTCTGATTCTGATAATCATTTAACCTATTACAATAGCTTATTTGCATTAAAATGGATGGTTTTGTTTTATTTTCACATTTTTTTAAATAATTTTTAACATCGTATAATAGTATATAGAGGACCAAACCTGCAGAAATTAAAAATAAATAAATAAATAATAACATTTATTTATTTTTCATTCCTGCAGGTTTGGTCCTCCATATTATGGGAGATGTTTACCAAATATCTATGCTTTTACATATGATTTTCAGTGTCTATCAACTAAAATTTTGGTTTGGTCCTTACACAAAGCTATTGCATTCAAAAGACTTAAATAGCTCATAAAATATAGCAAATAAAATATATGTGACATATTTCACCTACTTCAGTGTGGAAAAGAGCTGCTTGGACATTTTGTGTTTCACATATATACCACCATTAATAAGATTTTATGTTTTTGAATGTCCCTTATGCTCACCAAGGCTGCATTTACTTGATCAGTAATATTGTGAAGAATTATTACAATTTACATTTTATATTTGAATGTTTTAAAATGTACCACATTTTCTGTGATGACAAAGCTGATTTTTCAGCATCCATTACTCCAGTCTTTAGTGTCACATGATGCTTCACAAATCATTCTAATAGGCTGCATATGAATAAACAAATCAAATAAATAATGTTTGTCATTTATAAGATAGTTTTTCATCTTGCTTGTAGCTATCAGAATAAAACAATCACTGAGACAGTGTGCATGCAGGTTTGAAATCTGTTCCAGCATCTGCTAGCTTGTTGCGGTTTGAAATAACAAAGGAAGCACTCGTGAGTCTAACAGCGTGTTTCTTGGCTTTAAAGGGACTTTTTAGTGTCACAGAAAAATCAATTTAGTTTTTCACAACCACGTCATATTAGTCCTGATATCAGTGTTAAGCTTATTCACCCTAACCAGACCCACAAGCACGCAGCGATGCAACAGCTCTGAAACGAAAACATCTCTTTAAACCCAACCCTTAACAGCGCTTAGTGCCTCTGAGACAGGACGCCTCCTTCTCTTCATTTAAACCAAGAGAAGAGATTAAAGTAAAACATGACGCACACAAAAGAGAGATAAAGTGAGCACTTGAATCTAATGAAGGGTCTTTTACTTCCAGAAAAAAGCTGAGGGACACAGCAAAGGAAGTATAAATTTAGTTTGATCCAAACTATAAAGGCCAGAGGTAGTGTGAAGACCCTACAACCATCAGACAATGGGTAGCAAACCATGTAATACTCATATACATTTAAATTGAAATCAAAATGACCCTAAGGGAGAGATTACTTACAGAAATTTAACACTACGCTCTTGGATACTTTACTTTCGGCATAATTCATTATTGGATTAAAATAGATCCTGATAAAATGACAAAAGTAATGTCCATTCGGGTGTTTCTGTGCAGAGGTTTGACAGTGTGGGCGGGACTTACTGCATGACCAATCAGAGCGTGAGCCATCTCATGTCCCAGTATAAAGACCAGCTGATGGATGTCTGCTACAGCCTCCAGCATTCCTGTGAAGATGAAGACCTTTCCATTCTGACACACACACACACACGCACACACACACACACACAATCATTCCAGCTGTGAAATCAGAATAAATTTCTCCTCTAGTAATCAGTCTCAAGATTTTCTTTAATCATTTGCAGTGAATTAAGAACATTCAGTGGTGTGAAAAAGTGTTGGCCCCCTTCCTGATTTCTTATTTTTTTGCATGTTTGTCACACTTTAATGTTTCAG